CACCAGTTTTTACCACAGATTACACCTTAATCCAGCTCCTGGATCTGTTTAGATTTACAGAGCCTGGAGCCCTGTTAGTGCTAGAGGAGTCAGAATTATCACAGATCTCAGTTTCCATCTTTGTTTAAACTTAGTGCTTAAAGTTGTCAGCAGGCCCACATCCAATGGAACGTGTGAGAAGATAGCCCTTTAATCTCTGTATTCCTGAAGCCTGGACAACAAGATCAACGTCACAACCATGTCAGTGCACATATTGACAGGGGTTCCACAAGATAGGGCTGATCCTATCAGGCTGTCCTTTTACTAAGGCAGAAAAATTTGGCAGAGTAATGTTTACTTTAGACCTCGCAAGATATAACCTAATTTTCACATTCCTATCTTGTAATTACTCTTCTAGGTAATTCAGAATGTAAATATTTTAAGGATTTCTACAATACAGGGGGGATGGTGGTGTTTTTTTTCTCCTTCTCAATTGTGACTGTAGTGAACAAGAGTGAGATAATCTAAGAGAAAGGATAAGCAATGTCAGGACGTCACACTCATTAGAAAAAAAAGAAGAAAAAAATCACCTTCCTTGTACATCTGAGTTTCTCTTTCAAGTAACAAATTACTAAATACCCAAGATTCCAAGAAAATTTATTTGCCGATGAGAAATACTGCCTTTATAGATTAAGACTCCAAATTCAAAGGAGCATCTAGTGTCTTTGATGCTGAAGGTCAGTCACCCAGAGAACTCAGTGACCTGCTCCGGATGCAACAGAAGCAGGACAATATTCTGTGACATATATTACAACAGTATGGAGGTTCTTCTGACAGAAGCAACCCAGAATATTCAGAACAGCTCATTGTTAAAATTTTTTGTATATATACGTACAGCAATTGTTTTTCATTGCAATTACAACAGAAAATCCTGACTGTGGTATGCCATCTCTTCTCAAACTTCACACAAGACAATTCCAATTTTTCTAAACAGATTAATTTTATAGCTGCGTTTTCCTAGTTCCACTGCTAGCAGAACCAAGGGGAAGGTATTAGAATACTCATGTCAACTCATTCACCACCATCATAACATACTCTCCTCCTGGCTTTAATATCCGAAGATTTTTATAAAAGAGAATTATGTTGATGGAACACTTAAAAAATGTCATTAAGATTAGTTACTAAATCCTGTGGCACAGCATATTAATGCTTTAGAGGTCTGAATGCAAGTATTATTTTCAAAACTGATTAAAGTCTGTATCAGCTCTCATACTGAAATACTACCACAGACATTTCAATTGACAGGATCTGGCTAGAGGTGATACAGAACAGAGGCGATGAACAAACTCAAAAACAGATGCAACATTTGTCCCAAGTAAAATAGTTACACACCTAGTTTTCGACGTATCCAACATTCCACAATATAATATAGCTTTCAACTTTCATAAGAAACTGGAGGCAGAGAAAGAGGCCACTATTTTCCAGTTAGAGCCTAGTTATTTATCTGAAGTGTAAACTAATCACCACAGGCACTAAACATGCAACTGCTTCCATTCTGGTAACTCATGTAGTTTGGACTTCTAGCCCCTAGCTTCACTACACTTATCATAATTTTGACCTGCATTTTCAACACCTAATTTAAAAATAAAATCGCCACAAATGGCAAACCAAAATCATTCTAGGTATAGAAAACACACCACAGTGTATTCAGAGCAACATTCCTTTAAACTTCTATGAACATTTAAAATGCAAGTGAGGATCACTCATTTGCTACAATTTACAGAATTAATGCCTTATATTACAGTTATGTGCAAACATTCTGTACTGATAAGAATACAGAAGGCCACATTTCACCTCACCACACTGAAATAATTATTCACCTAAAGTAGATCTATATGTATTTTTCTTCCTCCTTTTATCTGCCCTGTATCACAGCAGTGCAGTCACCAGATTCTAATCCTCTGTAATCATACTGCTTGTCCCTGACACTGTTTCCAACAATGCTATCCAAATCACCCAACTAATTATTTCTCTGATTGATTTTTCCTGAATGCAGAGCTCAAATATTAATTTATTCATCACAACCTGATCTGCATCTCCCGCCAATCATATTGTATCTAACCATCAAGAACTATTAATCCAGAATGTTTAGATTTTTCATGCAAGCATAAATTCTGTGAATTGAATAATCGAAGATGCATAAATTCAATCAGTCAAGAAGTGGATTCATTCTGTAAAAGGCATATTGCACAAAATAAATTTCTTAAAGCGATGCTTTCTCCATATTTTTCCAAAGCTTGAACTGCCACTCATTCTAACCGGTAGTGGTTCATGTAAATATAAGATAGAGCTAAAACACCTCCATCCCCCCCAGGGTGATATGTGATTTTAGATAAAAACCTTTATCAAAGTCAATAGCATCTGTATGTACATTTTAAATTTATCTGTAGCACTATTTCAGCATTTGATTCCACAGCAATACAAGGTGGTCTAAAAAGGTATAGGTTTCTCATTTTGTAAGAATATCTCTTTAAATTTAGAAAAGTGTCACTTATTGATTTTCAGATATCTTAATTGGGTCATGCACTGAAAATAATTGGCTAACAGTTTCATCTTTAGAGGATGAAAAAGCCATAAAATAAATTTTAATGAGGATAAGATCTTCATCAATCTTCGTAAGACTGAAAGACATATTACTGAAGAAGTCTAATCTTAAATAAAGAAATCAATAACTTCCCCTCAGAAAATTTGAAATATTTTAACAAACTGACTGCCTGCTGTTATGGTCTATTGGACAATAGTGTCAGACTACTTTGACCTAATTAGAATGAGAAGTAATTAGTAAATCAAACAAATCCACAATCATAAGAGTCTAAAAAGGCTTATGGACAAACTAGGGTATTGCATCTTTATAATTTGTGCACTTTGTTTATTTTTTAGCCATAATACTCGGTTCATAATAGTCATCCATAACAGCCCCATATCAGAAAAATGTATTTAAGATAGGTACATACATTTGTAAGATCTTACAGAAGCAACCTCAGGTAAACTACAGCAACTGTAATAAAAATTTTCTCCATTAAATTTAAAAATTAATTTAAGATTGAACTCATTTCTAAACATGAGTTTAAGAATGTGACTATAATCTTTTTCATCCTCTTAATCTGACATCATATTGTGAGTGTATGGCAACTGTCAGGGACTAAATATACAATATACACAACTCAAATTGTTGAAAACAATGACATTTAAATGAATCAAAAAGAAATTTCTAACATAACATGTACACCAGCGGCAAACGCAATTACATCCTCCCCACTAACCAAAGAGAAATTACACTCAAGTCAAACACAACTGGTCACTTCCAACTGGGAATCAGGCTATCTGACAGGAGCAGCTGTTAGAACAGGCTTGACAAAATGCTTTGTTAGCACATAAGTTTAGAAATTCACATCCTTGCATTCCTTTGTGTCTCATTAAAGAAAAACACACTAGCTATTTTCCTGTTACTGCCTCTGTAGGAGAATGGCAGTGGGAAGCAGATAAGAGGTACAAAGTATTTTCTGTTGAGATAATCAGGGAAGTCAAAGATTTCTAACTCTGAGCGATGACAATGACCCCAGCTGAGCACTCTTCCATTAGTATTTTCACAGAGCAGGAAACTAGTATTAGAACATCATTCTCACTCTCAAGAAAGCATGTTCTACAAGCAAAAGTTTCAAAAAATTAACTCCTACCACCAAAGCAACTGAAATTTCTCAGGCCCCACAAAACAAAAAAACGGCATGTTTCAGGTTATGATGGAGTTGTATTGGCCAGCTAGAACACAACTGCTGATGGGTACCAGCAGATGAGTTCTGCTTGCCTTATCCTCTATAGGAGCACTCGAAGTCTTTTTAAACCTATCCAATGACAGATTTTTATAAAGCATGCTGGAACTTATTTTGAGACTTCAAATTTTTTGAAATGTAATTTGATGTATTAGTTTGATTTCAACTTGCACAGAAGTTGACAATGGAAAACAGCAGCAGAAGTAAACTGAATGGTACCGTCCTGTAAATCTACGAAGTGACAAAAAAAATTCCTAGTTCTGAATTTCCAAAGTGATACACCATTTCAAAGAAAAGTACCTTCATTAGAAAAATAAACACAAAATACAAAACCCCTGGCTTACCGAATCCCCCAGTACGAGTACAACAAATGTTAAGAACTTGACTACTGAAATTCCACTCAGGTTTTTGAAAATACCTTAATTTCTCCTGACAGTAATGAAAGACAGCAGAAAACAGTTAATATTCAAGGATCTTATTACCAATGACAAACTTAGACAAGATCAAAAAAAAAAGGGGCAAAAAAAGAAGTCTTCTATCTTAAATAAAAAAGGCCACTGCCCCATTTCATGCTCAAGGTAAAAGTCGTAAAAGTCTTCTAACTAAAATTCCAGTGTCAGAGACTGCTGTTATCCTTTACATAGAAAATCTCTTTAATTAGTATGTGCTCACCATAAATAAGAATGATAATACTTATTAATAATTATTATATTATTATATTGAATCTAATTGCGGTTATGATCTATTTTTGTTACTCTACTGCACTCTTGCATAGAACAAGGTATCCCAGTTTGTTTAAAGCTAAACTTCAGTTCTGAAGCATGATGGAATGGGAATAAGGAAGTAAATGCTAACTAATAAAAGTAATTCCAGAAACCATTATTAACATTAACTGCTGGTAAAATCAGATCGCCTTGTCTTTGCACATGAGAAAGAGAAGTAATCCAAACAATGAATTCATGGGCAACAGCAAATACCTTTTTTGGTTTATTAACAAAAGGGAGAGCAAAACTGCAAACTGAGATCACCTTTCAAAGTTATTTATAGAATAAACTATGAAGAGCATGACAGTTACTTTTTGTTTTAAAGGTTAGTCCCTAATCTGGCAAACCACATACGTTAAATATATGGGAAATTATTAAAAAAAAAAAAAAGAAAGCCCAAGCAAAAATAAATAAAAACCTGACTTACCTGTATGTGCATTACAAGCTGTGCTTTCTCCTTATCCTTACACTCTATGCATCTCTTTAGTTCTTCTACCTCTGACATTACAGCATTATGACCCAGCTTTGCTTTAAGCTCTAAAATATGTTTCTCCAGTTCTTGCTTCTCTCTCTCATATCTCTCAGCTACTATAAAATGGTAAGAAGAGAAAAAAGGCCCAGTAGAAACACCAACTTCTGGTAAATTATTTTTTCTCATTTATTTTTTGGCAGTTTTCTTCTCTACTTGAGAGTATTCTACAACTATTTATTTTGATCAAAGAATCTCTGAATAAATGGCTATACCTACATCATAACTACTGAATGAGACAGTATTTCTGTTTATCCAGTCATTTTATGGGGATTTTCCCCTCTTCCCAACCTCCTCCACCCCCACCAAAAAAAACCAAAACAAAACCCAAAACACAATAAAATATAATAGGATGGAAGAAATAAGAGAGAAATTCTGGTGTAAATGAAACTTGTCACAAACTTCAAGGCCAAGATTTTACCCCACCAGAGTAATACCTCCTGATTTGGAAGTCACACTATCTGTGAATTTTATGCCTGAATCCTATAACTACAACAGAAGTTCTTGATAAGAGTAAGCTGTAAATTCCTCAATCAGAAATTCAAAGGTCTTTAGTCATAAACAACTACTAGAGGTAAAGAAAATCTCTGTATTCTTCCCATGCACCTTTGAAGGAAGAGAAATAACACAGTAAGGAGAAACACAACTGCCTACATTGTATAAATATATGTGTATATCTTAATAGCTCCAGTACACTTTTTTATTTTCTACATATTTTTACAACTGCTTTGATTTATAATCATAAAACAAAGGGAAAAGTTAAAATATGCTTTCATTAACATGGAAGGCATATTGTTTCAAATAAATTCACTTTTAAGCAGATACATTAATATGACTGAAGAAAAACTATCAAAATTACTATTTTGTGTTACATTTCTGAAGCTAAGGCATGTATAAAATGTAGCCATTTTCCAGTGCTCTGTAAGATATTTGTAAAACAGGGAGCCAGAATCCTATTTTAATAACCAAGATAATTCAGTAGCTGAAGTATGAAAATACAAAAGAAATCATTAACCAAACCAATTAAATATTCACAGAGACGCTGGACTCGGAGTCACTATTTCTTTATTATCTCGAGTAATACATTTCTATGTTAATAATGAGAAAGATAGAGACTTTCTCTAATGCCTTTTTGATTATGTTTGAAAAGTTTAAACACAGATAGATAACTAATAATGTAGCAAAGACCTTACTAAAGTGGTAATCTAATATGCAACTACATTTTGAAATTGTTTAAAATATTTTCCTTCTAAATATAATTGTTCCATCTCTTAAATACTAACATACTGCAAACAGAAGCCTTGACTGCATCACACTGGAAAATTTTCTTAACCTCTCTGCATTATGTTGTTATCCCTTAGAAATTCTACTAGAAATTCATCAGTCTTATTAACCAGCTATGTAAATGCTTTTGCTATGATTTTCAAGATGGCAGAATTTAAACTGCAAATGGACTGAAATGTAAAATTTCAGAAAAATGTTTATTAAAAAAAATTCAAATGTTTTTCTTCTGTAAAATTACTATCCAATTTGCTGAAATTTTCTCTAATAACCTTTATTTGTTTTAACCACACAAATCATGGTATTTTATCCTAAATTTTCACTCTCATTGGTATTTATTTGTTAATATTCAGGTGCCAATACTCATTAAGTTAAAGCTGAGGACTTAAATAACTGGTTTTCTGTTGAAACAGTAGAAGAATTAGACTGAAATTCAAAGACAGAATTGGCTAAGTAGCTAATCTGCAGGCCTCTAGTGCAAAATTTGAGAGTTGTACCTGTTCTAATTCTCCTGTCATCATCTTGTATGTCCTGGTAGCTCTGGCGGTGCATAGCAATATTTGAAATTTGATGTTGCAACTCTACACGGTCTTCTTCTGCTCTCAAAAGTTGGGAACGAAGATCCTCAACCTAAAATGCATGTACAAGTATCAAATGTTTAACAAGAAACAGAATGAAAGAGTAATTACTTTTATTAAATACTACCAAAAAAATAAAGACTATACTTATAAACTATAGACTATATTTATAAATTAATCTTGAGAGTACTGAAGACAGTAAACAAAAAGACAAATTACTTCCTTATGATAGGCCAATAAGGTGATTATTCAAAATTAAAGGAAACATTTTAATTTGTTACGTTGACCACAGATGAAAATGAATTTCTCTAGATCAAACAAAATCCTACCATTTTATATGTAGCAATTGTCTTTTTACATTGCTAATGAATACACCTATAAAAATTTAATAACCAATAGACGTTATTTAAATACTACTCATTAAAAATACAATGTACTTATTCTTAAGGAACATAGGGGCTTTTTATATTTTTCCTTTCTTTCATATACAGCCTAGCACTTACAAAGATGACGTTGTGTACAGGAAAATAAAGAAAATACAACATGCTAAAAATGAATTGAAGGAAAATAGCTCTAACTCATATTACCAGTATGAGATATAGCACTATATTCCATGCACAGTGAGTTAAATTCAAAACAGCCAACTCAAATTTCTGCTAGATACACAAGTCAAACAATTAATGATCACTGATAAGTACGACAATTGCTGCCCTCTCCCTATTTATTTCAGTCTTCTTCCCCAGCTCCTCTGAAAGAAGGAAGGATTAGAAATGTTTAGGAGAAAGGATATTTTTCTAAAGCTGTAATCCAGGTTCCGGCAACTTCTAGATTTAATCATATGTGCTTCAACGGGTATTGTTTAGAGCACACTTTAGATGGTTTTTCAGGTGGTTGGGTTTTTTATATTTTTATCATGTTGCTATACAATATAGCAAATACTTCCAGGTCACAGATTTATCTGAATTCACTAATTATAGCATGCACTTTGCAAAATTACTAATACAGAAGTTATTCTAAAGCATACTATGAAGGACAGTTACAAATAATGTGTTTATGTACTTTAAAAGTACCATAACTATAATTATTATATATGAACATATATACATAAAAGTTTGGAAAGCAGAAAAAGTATAACAAGAGCTCAGTCCACATATTTTAGACTCTTAAACCTGTCTTTCTGTATATTCTTCTTCCCTTCCCAAAACAATGTTATCAGAGTATGGGATAGGAAGATTAAACAAAAAGACTCAGACACAGCCTAATATGAAAACTTTGAAATTTTTACCACCAAAAGCAGTTACCTGATGCAAAAGAGCTTCTCTACTGCCTTCTGATTCATTCAGCTTCTTCCGGGACTGCTCCAATTCCTGCTCAAGCTTTCATTGCAGAAGATGATGAAGAGAGAAAGCAATGTATGCATCATAGTACAAAAGTCTATTTTAGCTATTGAACTCTGGCAAAAATGAATTGATAAAAGCATATATTTTAAACTAGGTATAATATACTCAATATTATTTGTCCAAAATTTTAATGCAAACCTTCATTTTTACTAAATCCCTGCTATATTCATTTAAATTACATACAAAGTAACTTGCAGTCTATAATTTTTGTACAATATTCTAGATCAACACAAAGATACAAAGTGGTATATATAATCCAAAACAAAGCAGCACAAAAGCAAACCTTTACTGGGTTAAAAGTAAAAGAAAGGAAGATAAAGTTTTTTTAAAAATTTTCAAAAATATTGTTCCTGGATTTGAAACATACTTTAAAATTCAAATTAAAATGAACAATGACTTAACCCTTGAAGTCACCTTTGTTACACAGTTTATTCATAAAGGTGTTAAAGATGACATGCGTTGGTAGAACCAGTAATTCATAAATTCTGTGCTTCTTCTGTGTTGTTCAAGAAGAAGTATTTGAATTATTCTGGAAACAAGATGACTGAAAAATTGAAGTGCCCAGAATTTTGTACTATTTGAATTTTTCTAATATATAAATTATATAAATACTGTATATTATATTACTATTACATGTACTATTAATATTGCTATATAATTATATAAAAATATAATATGAAGAAAATTTTAAAATGTTTAATCGGAAATAATCAGGAACCTGAAGAACATTTAGGAAAAAACACAAAAACAAAAGTTACAAAATATTTTCTGACTTCTACCATAAATAGTTCAAAGGTCACAAAGATCCACATCGAAATATAGTTTTTGACAGCGGATACTGCTATTGGAGAGATAGCAAAGAGGATGTTTGAGGCTGGCAGATGAGCAAAGTAAACAGGACCAGTATTAACAGAATGGAGAGAGTAATGTAACATAAAACATTACATAGATGGTTTAGCATAAAGGAGTTAATACTTTGAAAGTATTGACAAAAAGGCTAAACTCTATGTACGAGGAAAAAAAACTAGAAAAAGTGTAATACAGCCCTTGCATCCTGCCAGAACAGAAACATAAGAAATCTTGTTTTCTATGAAGAGGAAGAGAGCAACGTGGCAACAGATAGTTCAGTAAGAGTAATTAATAATAACCATGGTGTAAAATAACCAGCAGGTGTTAGTTGCAGGGATAAAGAAAAAGTGCATCTTTGAGCTGCTGCAAATAAGAAACTGCAGACTATGTATAAATTCAGGGACAAATCCGGGAAAGAAATCAAGGACAATCCCCAATTTAGAAACTTGTCCACCTGGTATGATGGAAGAGGCGTTAGAAGTAACACACTATACCTAAAGAGCTTTGAAGGAAAGACAAAAGTTCAGCATAACTATATTCACAGTGCCTCTGATGCAAAAAAAACCCAACCCCTTGTTACCTTAAAGAGTAAAGAAAGTTTTATCCTGCTGGTTTCTCTGAAAAAGGAAGCATATACTGTAACATATGACACTATACACCTATTTAAAACCAAACAAGAAAGGAGAAAATTAAGTCTTACTTGGTTCTTCTCACTTTCATATTTCACAAGTTTATTTTTCATGAGTTCTTCTGTTTCATCTCGTTTAGCACCTTGCTTCCTTAAAGCCTTTAGAGGGGAAAAATATTTTGTGAACATCATTATAGAAGTTATAGAAGTCTTCATTTTAAGTCTACTAAAATGAAAAAATATGCTGATATATTTAAGAAAGATTATCTAGACAAATGCTTTCTGTTTATGTCTAATACTTCCATGTGGAGCCAATGTATACTGTTATGGAAGGATAAATATAGGTCCATGCATACATAAACACACCCATACACAGAACAGGGTCAAATACAAAGTCAAAACTAGCGCCAACATCCTTCCGATGTATAGAGTTCCAGACACTCAAAGCTGACCCCAAACACTTTGAGATTAAAGTTTAAGAGGCTCAAGAGATCCCCTGCAGATAAACTGTGAACATATCAGGTGAAAAGAATGTAACCCCTAATATAAAATATGCATTATATGAAATACAGTGCACCGTAGTAAGGAAAACATTACCATAAGGTTGTGTTGGAAGCCAAGAAAAGGAAAGTCATTTTTATCTGAATCTGGACAGATGCTTAGAATCACAGTATTAAGACAGAATCAACTGAAACTTTCCTGATCAAGAGTTACTGACACTGATGTGCC